CAAACCTAGTCAAATAAGATGCAACCCAATCAAAATATACTCTAATACTCATAATTAGTCAATTTATAACAATTTCCAACTCCGCTCGAAAAATTAATAAAGCAACCCTCGGGCCCACGTGCCCGGATTCCGAAAATTTTCAAAGATAAACTTTACCCATAACACCATGAACTCAAATATATAATTTATTCCAAATTCCATGTCCAATTTCGTGGTCAAAATCCAAAAATACCAATTTCTAGGTTTTTCTTCAAAATCCCAAATTTTCATAAATTTTCAAGTCTAAATCCATATATAATCCAAGTATTTAACTTGCAATAGGTGGGAATCACTTACCTTGACATGGATGACGAAAATCTCCTTTCCAAGAGTTCCAAATATCACCTAACCAAATGAAAAATGGAGGAAAATGGCCAAATCCCGTCTTTTAAAAACCTTACTGCCCAGGCGACCCTTCTTCGCGAACGCGGCAAGCCCCTCGCGTTCGCGAAGTAATACCAGCTCCAACTCCAAAATTACCCTTTGCGAATGCGAGACGCAGCTCGCGAATGCATTGCTTAACCGGGCGACCCATCGCGAACGCGTTGCACCCTTCGCGAACGCGAAGGTTTAAAATCCCATGGGCCAATTCCCCTTCGCGAACGCGATGACCCAATCGTAAACGCGAAGCACAAATTAGCAGCCAATCAAAACCTTCTTCGCGAACGCGTGAACTCCTTTGCGTTCGCGAAGAACGAAACCAAAACCAGATATCAGCAACAGCAACTCAACCCAACTTGGTCCGAAACCATCCCGAAATATACATATGGCCCCTGGGACCCCGTCCAATCACACCAACCAGTCCCATAACATAACACGGACCTGCTCGAGGTCTCAAATCACATCAAACAACATCGAAATCATGAATCGCACCCCAATTCGAGCTTAATGAACTTTAGAACTTCGAACTTTCACATTCGATGTTGAAACCTATCAAATCAGGTTCGATTGACCTCAAATTTTGCACACAAGTCATATTCGACATTATGGACCTACTCCAACTTCCAGAATCGGAATCCGACCCCGATATCAAAAAGTCCACTCCCGGTCAAACTTCTCAAAAACCTTCAGATTTCTAACTTTCGCCAAATGACCCCGAAATGATCTACGGACCTCCAAATCCACATTCGGACGTGCTACCAAAACCAGAATCACCATACGGAGCTATTCCCAGACTCGGAATCCCAAATGGACATCAATAACATTAAAATGCACTTCAACCCAAATTTATAAAATTCTTCCAAAATGCCAACCTTCCACAATAGGCGCTGAAACGCTCCCGGGTCATCCAAAACCCGATCCGGACATGCACCCAAGTCCAAAATCATCATACGAACCTGTTGGAACCTTTTAATCCCGATTCTGAGGTTGTTTACTCAAAAATTCAAACCTTAGTCAATTCTTCCAACTTAAAGCTTCCAAAATGAGAGTTTTCTTTCAAAATCAACTCCGAACTTCGCAAAATTCAATTCCGACCATGCGCACAAGTCATAATACATGAAGTGAAACTACTCAAGGCCTCAAACCACCCAACGACGTGCTAGAGCTCAAAATGACCGATCGGGTCGTTATAGCAAGGGCACCTCAAAGAACTACTCAGAGGTAAAGGCAGGAACACCTTCGCTAGGGGTATAGAATGTCAAGGCCCACCAAAGCCACCCTCACCAGCTTGTACCATCAATATGATTATTGGTGGCAGCGATGATGCCTCTATCAACGGTCAGATGCCGACGGTTTGACTTTCCCTCACAACGATGCCCTAGTCATTACTTTACTAATTTTGGATACTGATGTTAAACGTATCATGGTAGATGATGGAAGTGGAGCATACATCATCCATCCCCGAGTCCTTGCCCAGATGAGACTCGACGATAAGATAGTGCCACATTGCATCATACTAACTGGTTTTAACAATGCAGTTGAACGGACTTCGGGAAAAATTACTTTTCCCATCCTCACCAGTGGGGAAACGCTGGAGACAACATTCCACATCATTAACTAGGCCACCAAATACAACGCCATAGTAAGATGACCATGGATACACCCTTTGAGAGTCGTTCCCTCCAGCTTATACCAAGTGATCAAATTCCCCATACCTTGGGGAATATTCAGCATACGAGGGAAACAACGCACATCTCGGGAGTATTACCGAATCTCCATGGACAGCACGACAACTCAACAAAAGAAAGATAAAAAAAATGAAGCATAACAATCAGCAGGGTCGAGGTCGCCACAAGATGGAGCTAGGGAAGTCATTATGGACCCCGAAATGGCCAAAGCCACAGAATCAACCATAGAAAACCTCGACCCAGTTCAATAAGACCACATCGACCTCAGTACAAAGGTCGACATCGGTTGCAAGCTCCGAGAACTTGGTAAATTTAGTCAATTCTTAATAACTAATATAGATTTATTTGCCTTCAGCCATGCAGATATGCCGGGCATCCCCAAAGAGATCGCCACACACAAACTGAACGTTGACCCTTTCTATCCCCCGATAAGGCAGGTCCGACGAAAGTTCAACCCCACTATCAATGATGTTGTCCATGAGGAAGTAGAGAAGCTACTAGCGAACGGATCTATCAGGGAATCAAAGTACCCCAAATGGATGTCCAACGTAGTATTGGTCAAAAAGAAAAATGGGAAATGGAGGATGTGTGTGGACTTGATAGATCTAAACAAAGAACGCCCGAAAGATTCATTCCCGTTACCAAACATTGACCAACTCATTGACGCAACGACGGGGTACGTGCTGCTAAGTTTCCTGGATGTATATTCGGGTTATAACCATATACTCATGGAAGAAGAAGACCAAGAAAAACCACGTTCATCACCCACAGGGGAACATATTGTTATAGGGTCATGCTATTTGGGTTGAAGAACGCAGGGGCTACCTATCAGAGGTTGGTCACAAAAATGTTCAAAGACCAACCCGGCAAAACCATATAGGTATATATCAATGACATGTTGGTCAAATCTGTGAGGCAGAGGATCACATCGACCACTTGAAGGAAGCTTTCGACATACTAAGACAATATGGGATGAAACTAAACCCCGAGAAATGCGTGTTTGGCGTAGCCTCGGGAACATTTTTGGGCATCTAAGTATCGCAGCGAGGAATTGAAGTCAACCCAGATCAAATCAAGGCTATTAACGGGATACCTGAGCAAATGACTACTAAGAAGCAAGTCCAAAGATTGACTGGTCGAATTGCCGCCCTATCAAGATTTATCTCGCAGTCGTCCGATAGATGTCACAGGTTTTTTGACGTACTCAAAAAGGATAACGGCCTCGAATGGACGCTCGAGTGCGTACAAGCACTATGAGAACTGAAGGCGTATTTATCATCGCCATCTTTAATCTTGAAGCCTGAACTTGGGGAACAGCTCCTCGTCTACCTCGCCGTCTCCGAAGTAGCAGTAAGTGCGGTCTTGGTTAGAGAAAACAAAGGTATGCAATCTCTTATTTATTACATCAGTAAAACACTTGTCGATGCCGAGACGACGTACCCAACCCTCGAGAAATTGGCCCTAGCCATGGTTGTAGCTTCACAAAATCTTAGACCATATTTCCAATTCCACCCTATCTCGGTCGTTACCACTTTTCCTTTAAGAAGCAGTTTACATAAACCCGAGCTATCGGGGAGGCCAGCCAAATGGGCCATCGAGCTAAGTGAGCACGACATCACATACCAGCCTCAAACAGTGATAAAGTCGCAAGTGCTCGCAGACTTTAGCGCAAAAGTAATGCCTGAGGCCAAGAAGGAAGCCGCTTAAGCTTCTATTCAAACAAAAGACCTCTGGGTCTTGTGCACCGACAGCACATCCAATGCTTTCGGATATGGACTGGGACTCGTACTCGAGGTCACCACCTGCGAAGTAATTCGCCAGTCTATAAGATACCAGATATAAATAACAACGAGGTTGAGTATGATACCATAATTGTAGGGTTGAGGTTAGAACTCAAATCTAGGGCGAAGCGGCTGAGACTCCGCTATGATTCTCGGCTCATAGTCAGCCATGTTTCAGGGACTTACCAAATCAAAGAACAAAGGTTGCAAAAATATCAAGTCGAGATTTGTAAGTTGCTGCCCAATTTCAACGAATCTCAGCTTGACTAGATCCCACGAACTTAGAACATCGAAGAAGATGGCCTCGCCAAATTGTCCGCCGCCCCCAAAAGCATCACAGTTAGGGACAAAAGCGTAATCCATCTCCTTAACTCGCACTGGACCAATTCGAGGTAAAATCTGCAAGATTAACTTGGGATTGGCGCAATTGTATTATTTCGTATTTGCAAGATAGCACCCTCCCAAACGACAAAAAAGAAGCTAAAAATCTAAGAATGCAAGCGGCCAGATACAGCCTCCTTCATAACGACTTATACAAAAGAGCGTACAACGGTCCTTTAGCAAAGTGTTTAGGCCCAAACAAAACCTAAAGCGTTTCGAGGAAGTCCACGAAGGCCATTGCGGTGCTCATACCGGTGATCTAGCGTTCGTCAGGTGCCTCATACGGGTCGGGTACTACTGGCCCACTATGAACAAAGATGCCTCAGAGTTCGTGAAGAAATGTGAGCAATGTCAGAAATACGCCCCAATAATCCACCAAGCAGGCGAACACCTTCATTCGGTCACCTCTCCAAGGCCATTTATTAAGTGGGGAATGGACATCATGGGTCCACTCCCACCGGGGCGAGGTAATATACAATTTTTTTTAGTTTTAATTGACTATTTTTCTAAATGGGTGGAAGCTAGAGCATTAATCGCCTTTATATAGAATATTATCATCTGCCGATTCGGCCTACCCAAAGAGATAAGTTGCGACAACAAGCCCCAGTTCACGGGAAGGAAAACCACTTAATTCTTTGAGAAATGGCATATTAAGAGGATACGTTCAACTCCTTATCACCCAGCTGGCAACGGACAAGCAGAATCCTCCAATAAGTCCATATTAAACATCATGAAGAAGAAACTTGAAGAGGCTAAGGGACTATGGCTGGAAATACTTACAGAAGAGTTATGGGCACACAAAACTACCATGAAGACGAGTAGAGGAGAGACACCTTACTTCCTCGTCTACATAACAGAAGCAGTCATACAATTCGAAGTCGGAGAACTCAGCCTAAGGTACTCCCATGAAAGCGACACCAGCAATGACGAGAATAAGAGACAAGATCTCGACGAGATTGAGGAGCGATGGGATACGATGTACATAAGGATGGGTGCACAGAAACAACAAACAGAACGCTACTACAACAAAAAGCAAAGGTTCGATTACTCAAGGTTGGAGACTACATGCTCAAAGACGAAACCCAGGCAAACAGGGATCCACGAGAATGCAGATTGGGAACGAACTAGAACAGATCGTACAAGATCATAGGCTAAGCAGACAAAGGCTCGTTCTAATTGGAAACCATGGAAAGGAAGCTCCTACCAAACAATTGGAATATGAGCTACCTTAAGTACTTCAATTCTAAGGAACGAGAAGCGCCCCATAAGTCGTACTCTTTTTCCCTCATTTAACTTTTGTCCCAATAGGATTTTCTCAAGGAGGTTATTAACGAGGCGACGAGTGGGACACTTCACGTTGAAGTATATGAGATCAGACCAATTTTTCATTGCCCGACTCTTCAAGATTCTTCAAGTCGAACAATGAAGGGACTAGATATACTGGGACTGGGACTGGAATGCCAGCCAATGCCCAAAACTTAAAACGCTCTCTAATATTGCCCGAGCACAAAATAATGTAATCATAGCAACGACGTCAAAGTAATAGAAATTATTGTTTATCGAAACTGCTGTAATGAATGATTAAGTTCGACCAAGCTCAAACAACACATATCGTCCATCAGCCGTAATTTAACGAAAGGTTAAGTTCGACCAAGCTCGAACAACACCCATCAGCCCTCGGTCGTAACTTAATAAGCGGTTAATTCAACAAACCTCGAACAATACCTATCGGCCCTTGGCTAATGCCCACGACTTAATAAATAGTTATGTTCGACCAAGCTCGAACAACACCTATCGGCCCTCGGCCATGATTCAATAAATGGTTAAGTTCGACCAAGTTCGAATAATACATATCGGCCCTCAGCCACGAATCAATAAACGGTTAAGTTCGATGAAGCTCGAACAACACCTATCGGCCCTCCGCCGCAACCTAACTTAAAGACGCGTTCGACTAGCTCGAACAACACCTATCGGCCCTCGGCCACATCTCGACTAAGAAACATATTCGTCTTGTGTAAATAAAGGTCCAATATGGCCCAAAGACCACAACTGCCTAAAGAATGACTTCACAAGTACAGAAGCAAAACATAAGTACGAAAACAAAACACTGAAATAAAAGAGACCATGTAAAACAAAATTCAACTTGGATATTCATATTCAGATGAAGAGTTCTTTACATAAGCATTTTAAGATGCCAACAAAAAATACAACAACATGAAACAAAAACTAATGGCCATCACCATCACGGCCTCCAGCATTCTCTCCATCCTCGCCATGAGGGTAAGCGAAATCATACCAGGAGTCATCCTCGAACCGATCTATTCCCTATTCCTCATCCTCCTATCCAGGCTGAGGCATAGCAGGGTCATAATCACAAGCAAGCCAAGCCTCGTGAGCCTTGACTCGATCATCCTCGAGAGTCATTTCTGAAATAATGCCCGCCGTATGCAAGTCTCGGAGTACGTCCAGCCAGGTTTAAGCACGGATCCTCTCCTCGCACAGCTCCCGAGAAATGTTAGGATACTTAGAAGCAATGAACGAAGTAGGCCGCGTGAGCAGTTAGACATTCTCGGGCTCGAGAATGGCAACTCGATCATGCAGCTCAGATTTTTCCATGTCTAGCTCCCTAATCCCCGATCCGCTCCTTAAGTCGGTCATCCTTAGCCCTTGCCGTCGATAGATCATTTTTTCGCTCGGAATAGAGAGTCCTATTTGCCAGCTCAAGAATGTCGATCTTTCTCCAAGAATCTAATCAGAAAGACTCCTCCTGCTCGAGTATTTGTTGTTTCTCAGCAATCTCTCCCCTTAGAGTATCAATCTCGAGATGACATCTGTTCAACTGGTCGTGCAGTTCAACTAGTTGAGCTTGAAGGTCGCTACACTGGGCCTCCACGCCCGTGCTTAGCTCAAGCTCCTCTTCTGTTCTTTTTAACTCCTCCTAGAGGACGCTAAATCTCCTCACAGCCGCCATTAGCTCCTCGTCCTTCTTCTTCAGCTCGTCTCCACCCCTTCACGAATTGCTTCTGAAGGTCTCGGTACTTTCCTCGGTACTCTTTGTACTTGTCCTTTAACTTTAAAGTAGATGTCTTTTCGCCTATTCTCCCTTCGGGCGCTCTCAATCTCCAAAATGACTGTCTACAAATCAAAGAAAAGATTAGTCAAAACCCAAAAACAAGCTAAGGCAAAAAGAAAAGAACGAACAACTACTATACTTACCCTGAGAGCAAGGACGACGATATTCTTTGACATGGTACTATCATTTATCTCCTTGAGGGTCACACTCCCAGTGTCGGAAAAGAGAGGACCGAGAGCAGGAACCACCTCATCGGTGTTTCTCAGCAAATCACGATCCATTGGGATCATGATGGTCCTCGAGCCTCCCTCCATCCTCACCTAGATCTGGGTGAGTCCCTCATCGATCATCCTGAGGTCGTCAGGGTCAGTGTCAGAACCTGACTCATCGTCCTCGTCGGTGATGTCTTTTCCCTTGTCCCCCTCAGCCGACGAGATATCCATTGTTGGCTTAGAAGTTGAAGTCTCTTCCTGCCCCGCGGGCACGGAGCCGTCGCTAAATTCTTTCATTCGTGATGCAAAGGCATGCCCTCATTAACTTCTACCGGTTGCGGGGCCTCAAAACTTGGCCCAATATCATCACCAACATGTATTGTCGCCGTCTCACATAACCTGAATCCTTCTTCCGCTGAGTTGATGGCCAAAAGAACTCTATCATCTATGCCTATACTCCTTTTACGAGGTCTAAGGTCCCCATCACTGGGCAAGAGTTTGTCGTCAACAAGCAAAAATAAGGGAGGAAAGAGCGTGGCAGCCGAAATAGGGACAGAGATAGAAGTTGCAACGGTTGGAATAGGGGCGGAGACAGAAGTTGCAACAGTTGGAAGGGGGCGAAGATTGAAGGCGTAGCGGCCCTTCTCCTCCGGAACGTGGGCACGGGGGCCCTATCCCTCATCGTGGTCCCTTTGACAGAACCTAGAAAATAACAAAAGGGTAGAGAACGGTGAAAATGACGAACATACACCACATAAAAATGGCATCGACGGGAAGAAAGCGATTACTTGTCGAGGGGAGAGCCGGTTTGAACTTCTGGAAGAAGCTCGGCCAGTCACATATCATGACCCAAAATCCAACTCAATGAGATTTACTGAGAAAATAAATGGAGAAAATAACTGAACTTTTATACACTTCCCAAGGACTGGTAGTACAAATCATGAGTTTTTAAGATTTAGAGTTTACAAAGTTGGTATGAAATAAATACACCATTTGTTTGAAATATACATGAACAGATTAATAATTCTAAAGCAAACAAGAATGAGAGTCAGCCATGACCTGAACGCAGGTACGTCTTCAATACTAGCTCCCGCCATACACAGCAACATCAGCATCCAAAATCTGCACGCAAGGTGCAGAAGTGTAGTATGAGTACAACAGACCCTATGTACTCAATAAGTAACAAACCTAACCTCAGGTTGAAAGAAATGACGAGCTGGGACAAAGGTCAGAGTCCAACGCCAATAGGCAACAACAGCTCATAACAATATAATAAAAGTGGTACAAGAAATAAATCAAAGGTATGATGCTCAGCTAATTCACAGTTACTGAAAATAGTCATGCTTTTCAAGTATAATAGTAAAACCCAAATCCTTCACCAAATCACCAAAATATGAGTAAGTCAGAATAACTGTGATTTTTCCCAAAAACTTTCAATAATAAATAAGATGTTTCATTATCAAATAGCATGAGGAAAGCACATCTCTATGCCTACATGTCAATGTGCATGTGAAGTCATAAATGTCACAAAACTGTGTAACATGAGGAAATGTATCTCTATGCCTGTATGTCAAGTGTATGTGTCAGATCCAATGCATCACAATGATGAACTCATATACTCACACTCTCAGAGTACTCAATATCATAGTCTCACATTCCCACTCATCACGCTCAATCACTCAGCACTATATGATACTTGCTGTATCGTGCAGTCCGATCCCATCATGAATCAATTGTAATTGCGCTCACTGTGGGTGTGCAGACTCCAGAGGGGCGAATCCTGCCCAAGCGCTAATATAAGGCTTGTTGCGACGTGCATCCCAATCCACATATAGCCATAAGGCCTATTGCGGCATGCAACGCGATCCACATATAGCCATAAGGCCTGTTGGGACGTGCAACCCGATCCACATATAGCCATAAGGCCTGTTGGGACGTGCAACCCGATCCACATATAGCCATAAGACCTGTTGTGGTGTGCAACCTGATCCACATATATCAATAATACATGCTGCAGAGTGCAGCCTCATCCACATATCTCACTCACAACACGGCTCTCAGGCCTCAACTCATTCATCAATCTCTACAGTCTCTCGGGCTCACAAATCTCATGACAATCTACCCAAACAATGATAACATGTTGTGATAACAAATAATAACAGGGACTGAGATATGATATGCACATTAATGAATATGACTGAGTATGTAACTGCAATTTAAGCAAATATCTCAACAACTGAAATGACCTCAGTGGGCCCCAACAGAATAAGCATATAGCCTAAACATGATTTCTAGCATGGATCACAGCTCAATTACTCTATCACGTAGAAATTTCATGGATAAAGAAAAGATTAAGTAACTACAAAGTACCACAGAATTAACAGAGCCACAATTCACACGCTGCACACCCATACGCTCGTTACCTAGTATGTGCGTCACTTCACACCAAACACATAACACGTATATTCAGGGATTCATTCCCTCAGTACCAAGTTTAGAAGTGTTACTTACCTCGAACAAGCCAAATCCAATACCGAGCAAGCAAAATAATACTCTAAAAATATCATCTCGTGCGTACCGACCTCCGAACGACTCGAAACTAGCCAAAAGAAACTCAAGAACATCAAATAACGCCAAAAGAAACAAACCCAATCGATAAAGGTAGAATCTTTAATCAAAAGCCCAAAGTCAATCAAAAAGTCAAACCTGGGTCTGCACCTCAGAACCCGAAAAAATTTACAAAATCCGATAACACATTCAATTACGAGTCTAACCATACTAGTTTCACTCAAATCCGACTCCGAATCGATGTTCAAAACACAAAAATTCACTATATGAAACTTTAGACAAAACCCCCCAATTTCT